GCAATATCATTCACGCCTAAGAACAGCTTGAGATCATCGGCAAAAAGAAGACATCGAGCAGTACCTTTAACCTGAGGCAAATCGTTTACCATTAGCAAAAATAGAGTCGGACCCAGAGTACTCCCTTGACTCAAGCCAGATCTTGTGTAATACTTATACTTTTTGTCTTTCTGTAGACGTAACAACCCCAGTAGCACACCTTAATCTGGCGGTTTCGTAGATATCTAATAGAAGTTATATTTGATGAGCTAGCTTAAGAGTAAGTTGTCCTTCAAAATATCTGCATGAGGTTGTATAACTAACCCTAATATAAAGGGGCGAGGTTTTAGTGTGACTTAGGATAGACTTAGGAGTATGACCTTTGTATAATTTATAGCGTACTTGTTCTTGTCATTTTCTCAATATTAACTTCAGGAACACGTTAGGATAGTATATAGCGCACGTGTTTATTGGTAACTCATAGATTATTTTAAGATTGCCAATTGTACACGCTCTTGTAAACTCCACTTATAGGGACATTTATTCTAAGGTAATTCCAGCAAAGCATATCTATTTGATAGGTACTTATGTATTTTAATTATTCATAACATAAAGAGATTAAAATGGCTATACTTTTAAAAGAAATCATAGCAAACCAATAAATTATATTAACACGTATAAATGGGTGAAATAATACACAAAAACTACGAATGCTTCCTTTTTTTTAATATCGAGTGACGGGACGAACAAGTTATGTGCCCGATGGTTAGCCACAGCGCCTGCTGTCACCCTGAGACATAAGTTAACAAGTCCCATGTGCCTGTAATTTCACCAGCACCCGTACCCTTCAAAACTGGAAAGCAGTAATGCTCATTTCACTCCCTGGCAGCAGATATAGGCAAGGTGGCAGTAGGAGAGAGCGGGGCTGAACGTTCCGATTTTCAAATAACTTGCAGGTTTATACTGAAAATGAAGGATTTGATTTTCAACATGTGGAAATGTTGAACAAATGTTTATAGCTTTTTGTAATAGCATAGTCACTTCTACTAATATCTCAATAGTCTTTTTCATAGAGGCTAATTTTTGACAAATTTCGGAGCGGAACATTCAGCCCCGCTTTGGGGCGCGTTGTTCCGCCTTTAAGGCAAATTGTTCCGCCCAGATTATGACAGAATAACAAACATTTTCTTAAATAAAACTATCTATTTTATACTGTTTATATCATACACAAGTAACTTAAAAAAAAACAACTACATTCTTATTCATCAGTAATATTATTCATCGCTCATTTCTTCATCTGAATCACAGTTGAGACACATAAGTGACTCTATCATCTTGTCTAAATATTTGACATGAGCCTGTTTGTAGTTTGGCACCCTTAAAACAAAGAAAAATGGTCATAAAAATTTTAAGTATGATTGCAGGTCAATTGGGGAAGTTATTCCTAGAAACAACCAGCCCCTCGAGAGAGGAACTTATAGCCCCAAATTACGTTTTTATACGAAGACTGACACCGGCAAAGCTTCTCCATCCTCTAAGTGACAAAGTAATAGAATCCATCAAAAAAATACTCAAACAATAAGATTCCTTACTAATGTAACTACAATTTAGAAAAGTTACGTATGAATCGGCCCATAATAAACAAAGGCAGACCAAAAAATTTAAACAAGAAAAAATTTACTTACGTGATATTTTGACAGCTCCACGCACATAGCCACACATCGTCGCCGGAGTAACTGAAATGTCTGCCGCCAAGACGCATCACCTGACGCTTTAACGACGCGATTCACATGTATTGCTACATATTTTCCTTGCAAAGTTATTGCTGTGAGAACAACTTAGCCCGGGAACTACCAGCCCCGGCCTCCCCTACTTCCCTGGACGAACTCTTTCACAAGGACCTCTACTGCCACGAAAATAATAAATAATGTGACGCACGTCTCTTGCAATGGACCAGCAGCTTGATTTTGATTGCCTTTCCCGATCGGAAACTTGTGACATTTCTAATCGGAACAATGGCTGATTTAGCTCACAAATTAGAAAGATATAGTAGGAATCAGGTTCATCTTCTCGCTTAGAAACCCATCTGATTTCGAGACTACCCGATCGCATCGATTCCGATTTGTTAACTAAAAATAACGGATAACTCGCGTATTTTAGTCGAAAATTAGATTGAGAATCTCATGATTAAGGACCACGAATTGGTTCGAAATATGTCGAGCAAAAATTCGACTTAAATACGTGAGTTATCCGTTATTTTTAGTTAATATGTCTGAGTCTCACGGTGATTTTCTATTTAAGATTCCGACTTGAATCAAAATCAGGACGCTGCAAGGCACCATAGCTTGAGACTTTTAATTTATCACCTATTATGTTATTGCTTTTCTCACGTATGGTTGGCCGTGAATATGATAAATAAGTATATTGTAAACAAAGTACTTGATGCACTATTAGCTGGAAAATATCTTATCAATACAATGGATAAGAATAATTTTCATCGTATTATTCTACATATATAGTTTCTTAGCGTGTAACTATGAATGTCACGAGCACGTCACGAGATCGTAATAACATACGATCATGTAACCGAATTTTCAACATCTACACCATTTCGTAACAGCGGGAACCTACCGGGTTCGATTTAAGTGAAATGGTAAGGAATAGAGTGTTTATTACAATAACAGATTGCAACAATGCATTAAACTTACGCAATACATTTACCTAACAACTTAGTAGCTAACCTGCTTTTGAGATCCTGTTGTTCTGTTGATGCAAATATGCAATAGCAATAGCTGTGAGAGAGAAATGGCGCTACTAAGATGATTTGACGACGACGCTGCGAATCGCAAATCTTAATATTATAATCTTTCAGTGCATAATTATTAGACATGGGAATAGCGTTACATTTCTATCGCCGTGATTGTCGTTCCGGTCCCAAAAAAATCACAGTGATAAATCATCGTGATTTTGTCACGACTGTTACTTTTACGTTAACTTACATCACGATATACAGTTTTAGCCAGCGGCTTCTTTCTAATAGTTACAGCCGTTTTTTATAGAATAATTTAAGTTTTTGCTCCCTTTGTAATAAGTTTCAATTCCATTCAAAAAGTTGATTTTGTATTTAATGTAATTTTGTTTTTACTTATTTAATGCGAATTTTTGGATTGTTAAAAATAGCAATAAAATATAATGTAATTATATTTCTAGTAGAATACACAAAGTAGATTATACATAAATATAAAATACCAACTCTTCCTATAATAAAACAAATATACAAAAATATTTTACTTTGTTCATAAATAGGTTTATAATAGCTGCTGCAGATTTTTTTCATCCGCCCTTTCTAGTAGTAATAAGCACCTACGACCCTTGTGAGTGAGCAAAGAAAGTGATCGTATTTCATTCACTCCCATCGCCGAAATGGCCCGATTTGAAGAGAACTACAACGATTGGCGCGCTCAGTCACCACGGAACGGAGATCGCGCATTGTATCAAATACCTATGTCGTGATGTGAGTGACGGGGATAGCTATTGTAACGGAGGAACACCTATGTGACTTTGGAACGTTGTTCCTTTCGAACGAGTTTTGTTTTTGCTTTGTTCGAACGAGTCACGGTGATACTGTTTGACGGCGGATCATCGTGATTTTTTCATCGTGACGTTATTTATCATCCACCTCTAATAATTATAACATTCAAGTAATAGTGACGGGATGAAGAAGTCGTGAGCTTGGTAATCGACACGCTTGTCGCCTTAACAGTTTCAGTGATGCTCAGAGCTTTTAATCGCAAAGATCTGAGGGCACTGCCACTGCGCCCGTCACCCTGGGAAGTAAGTTGAAAAGTCGCATGTGCCTGTAATTTATAATATATGAAAATAGAATATTCGCTTCTAGTTGCCGGTTGCTTGTATCCAACACAAGACACGCGTTTACGCGGTAGCATACATTTCAAAACCGAAACGCAGTAATTATGCTCACGTTTGCTGCTTGGCGGCAGGAATAGATAAGGTGGCAGTACTTTCCTGGACGAACTGTTTCACAAGGAGCGCCTTATAAATAGATTTAATATAAGTATTATTTAAATTTTGGGTGCAGATGCATTCCACGCCGTGTCTACATGAGTGAGACCGTGTAACCATCTCAATTACGAGAGTATGATTATGAAATAGAAATGACATTCTGAACAATTAGGCGTTTGAGCGTACTCTTGTCCAAACATAAATAGACGACGAGTCGACGACCCGCGTTTTGCAATACGAGTTCATCGCGGGTACATGCGAATATGTGCGTTCGTTCACGTTGCGCGGCGGGCGTGCACCGGTTACTAATCTATTTCAAAAAAACTTGGCTAATAGACGTAATTCCACGAATTTTTGAGGCCAGTTTTTTTATTAAAAAAATGTTTTATAATTGAATTATCATACCCTTGATGTAAAAAGCCACGTGTGATCATACGTCAGGTGCTTTTATCTCATGGAAGGCATAAAAATAATACGTACTACATGAAACCAATGAAGTATATTCAATTATTTTTGTGAAATTACTCCACTAGTTTGTTATAATTATTAATACAAAGATCGAACACTGAGAAAAAATTCCTTGGATCCGGCCGGATTTGAACCGACGTCTCCTAGCAAACCTCTGCCACGGTTTGCTAGGAGACGTCGGTTCAAATCCGCCAACTAAACACCTACGGGTCGAAGGATTTTTTTCTAAGTGTTCGATCTTTGTATTAACAATTATAACAAAATTGTTTTAACGTTTCTAGTATTTAAACTTTTATTGTAACTTACCTGTACATTTTAACTTAATATCTAATAAATCATTTTTGTATTTACAAAAACTTTTGAGCAACACTCATTTGCTGTTGACTGTACTAACAAAATTTTCCACAGAATAATTTTTTCATATATTTTATCACCCACTCGTAATGTTGCTAGAAGATATATTATCCCATATCTGTTACGAGATCAGATAAATACTTCTCCCAATTCTCTTGAAGGCTTAGTTCGCAAACATGAAGTGGGTCGTGCTGTTGGCGGGTAAGAATTTATATTATTATCACATTATATACACTATCTTTACCATAGAAGCAGCAGACTTAATTTAGGACGCGCTCCCATTATGTCGTGACGCTAGATAGTCGTGCAGTTTAAAGCGTCGTGGTTTGTATATTTAAATGAAATTGTTTACATATAGTACAATAGGATTAACTGTCGTTCATGGCTTTTTTGGCGTTACGACAACAGACTGTCGTGACAATGGGAATAACTAGAACGACAGTCATCCGACGACAAATAAAACGTCACGATAAATGTGAAGACAGATAATCGCAGCTTCAAACGATTCTGTCGTGCAAACGACAAGGAGGCTGCAGTGCACCGATAAATTTTCGTTACGATCTAGTGACGCACACACACGCACACATATAACACATGAAAATTAATGTTTTTTCTAACATATTGTTTTGTGTGAACTAATTTTTACTTACTTATCCCACATATCAATAATTCTTGTCATATTCAGTGTTTTATGAATACTTTATCCGTAGCTGAGAGACCTATAGCACAGGGTATCCTAATTTAGGCTCCAGCCTTTAGTGACAACAATCGCTTTATTTACATAAGAATGTTTGATTATTGTTTAAGTTGTGTGTAAAGGAAATAAACAAATTCAAATTCTTTATTTGCCACGTCACAAAGCTCGTAACATTTAGCACGTCAATAGTACAAAATATCTTATCAAAGTCATTTACTACTAACACTCAACATACTACTAGAACTAAATTCAAAGACTTGCACAATATACACATAAATTTGAATATTATTTAATAATAATATATTGCTATGAAATAAATCGCATAAGTAATAAATCATTAATAGATACATTAAATGTTATAAAATAATGAGCATTTTTTTGAATGCATAAGGTCAAAATATTCGTCAACTTTATACAATGGATTTTTAATTAAAATTTGTTTTATCTTTGTTTTGAATTCTAATTCGGGCAATTCGTATATAGTCGGTGGTAATTCATTGTTCATTTTCGATGTGGGAAATAAATGCCTGTCAGTTTTCCTAGATTTAAAAAAGCCTTTGACACCGTCTCTGTCCCAATCCTAGTGCGCAAACTGGAGAAAATCGGAATCAGAGGTAAACCTCTAACTCTCCTTAAAGAATATCTTTCTGATAGGAAGCAAAGTGTTAAAATAGGAGAAGGAGATTGTAGTAGTGTAGAACTGGATGTGACGTACGGCGTTCCCCAGGGAAGCATATTGGGTCCTACTCTGTTTTTAGTCTATATAAACGACCTATGCAAATTGGAGTTAGACAATGCAAAGATTTTTTCATATGCTGATGACACAGCTTTAGTCTTCTCCGGATCAGGAGATCAGAGATTATCATGGCATTCCCACCTTGAACTGGTTACTGACAGAGTCAGGAAGTTAACTTGGGTGTTTAGAACTCTGAGATACATTGCTCCTAGGAAAGAGTCTAGAAATAATTTTTCCACGAGTAATTTTTTAAACGTGATTTATGTCGCTTTGGTGCAATCAATTCTGGTGTACTGTATCCCCATTTGGGGTGCGGCGTCAAAGACTAAATTCTTAGAGTTGGAACGAGCACAACGATCACTAATTAAAGTTATGTACTTTAAAACGATTAGACATTCTACTGAAGACCTTTATCACTTGAGCAGTCTCCTCTTGGTTAGAAAATTGTATGTGCTGTTAATCATTATGAAAAAACATAAGATTGTACCATTTGACGCAAATGTGGACAATAAAAGGAGGAAAGATAAGGTAGCTTTGGTTCCCAACTGTAAAACCGTATTTGCCAGTAAGCAATACACTAGATGCTCGGCCTATCTATATAATAAAGTAAACACAGAACTACAGATTTATAAAAAAACAATTTATGAGTGCAAATGCTTGCTAGTGAAATGGTTGAAAACCCTTAGTTATGAGAATGTTGAGATATTTTTGCAATAACGTAAAGTCTAATAGGTACAACAACCACAAACTCTTTCTTTAATCTACACCTTACAATTACAAATAATACAATTCTAACCACAGTAAAATTTATACTAATTGAATATTCGCCGCATTTATTTGTATATATATAACACGGAAGAAATACTATATATTAAATTTGACACAATGTGTATATATTTATATGTCTGTATATGTTTCGTATTTATGTAATATATATTTATTTTAAAGACATCAACCTACTCTGTATAAATATGTAACCCAATCACTGTTTCAAAGTAATAAAACTAATATAACTGCTCTAATTACCTGTACTGTACAATTTAGAAATTTGTAAATTAGATGCAGTAAACAGATATGGATGTAGAAGAGCGGAGTCTCCTAACACAGGCATTGCTATGCTTAAAAGGAGATTCCAGTCACTAATACTGTAAATGTAAACTTGAAATGAAATAAATGATTATTATTATTATTATTATTGTATAATTTTATCTTTAGACAGTAACCTTGCTTAGCAGTTCTTTTCAATCTCGTTTTTGGTGCTATCAGTTTGTTTTTGTTTCTAGTATTGTAAGTGTGTATGTCTCTGGTTATTTTTAAGTTATTCTTCTTTTTATGTACTTCCTTCAAGGAATTAAAAATAAACAATGATATTACTGTCATGACCCCCAATTTAACAAAAAAGATTTTTGCGGATATTCTTCTTTGGATACCACTGATTATTCTTATCGATCTTTTCTGTAGCACCAGAACGCGTTTTACATCGGCGCCGTTGCTCCAAATTGTCACAGCGTAATTTATTATCGAATGAATGTACGCATAATACACAGTCAACAATGTATTTTTATCGATTAATGGCTTTAATATAAGAAGTGCATAGTTTCCACCTGCTATTTTATTACACACATTATTGATATGAGTTTGATGACTCAAAGTATTATCAATAGCATAGCCTAAAAATTTTGTATTTGATTTAAAATCTAGCGTACGTTGTTTTCCCGAGCAATATTTCATAGCAGTTGTTTTCTCTTTATTGAGTAGTATACCGTTAGCAGTAAACCATGTGTCTAATAGGCTAACTACTTCATCAACTTTTTGTGCCATAACTTCCTCTTCCTTATCTTTTATCTCGACGTGGGTGTCATCAGCAAATAAATTTACAAAGCTCCACTTAGGCAAGCTGTTTTGCAAATCATTTATATATACTAAGAATAATATAGGGCTCAATACAGATACCTGTGGTACCCCGATGTCAGACTTCCCCAGTACAGAAACAGATTTTTCAATTTGTACCAATTGATTCCTATCCTTCAAAAAGCTATTTAATAGTTTTAATGCAATAGGACCGTAATACTCAAGCTTACACATAAGGATATTATGATGTATACAATCAAAGGCCTTTGGAAGATCTCAAAATATGCTCGTGCATTTCTGCAAACCATCCAAAGCCTCTAAAGCAAAGTCAACCACATTGGATATTGCATCTGTAGTTGACCTACCCTTCCTAAATCCATATTGCACTGTACTATAAATATTTTCAGTCTCAAAATAGCTAGCAAGTCTATTTTTTATTACACACTCCAAAATTTTTGATATACATGGAAGAACACAGATTGGCCTGTAATTGTTCATGTCATCTTTAGATCCTTTTTTAAAAAGAGGAATTACGCGTCCTTTTTTTAGTACTTCTGGAAACACTCCTTGGCTTAAACAAGAATTTATTACATGAAGCAAGAGTTGCTGTAAGTAACTGTCTTCCAGGATCAAACGTTTCAGCGTTTCAGTATCCATGCCATAAACATCTTTAGTTGGTTTTCCTTTTGTTTCTTTTATCACTTTAATGAGTTATTTATTTTCAATGGCCGTGAATGTCAAGGTAGATACTGGTTTTTCTGTGTGTTCTAAGTATTTTTTAGATTTAGATATGTCAACATGTACGTGAGCCGCAATCAGTTTAGCTATTGCTAAAAAATAATTATTAAATACATTAGCAATCTCTGTAGCTTCAGTAAAAATGGTTCCTTCGTTATTTTTCACATATTTAATGTTTTTTTTATTTTTTAAAAGCTTTAAGACGCTTTAACTTTATTGTTTGCCTTTTTATCAGTTCTGAATTCTGTAACTTCTTAGCTGTGAACATCACTTTTTTTAATATCTTTTTGTATTTTTTAATTTCCTTTTTCCGTTCGCTATTATTATTAATTTCACATAAGTTCTGATGTTCTGCAGTTTTGTCGTTTGCGCTGGCGGCGGTCCAGAAAAGGCCCCAGCACCGCCACATTTCTTTTGAACCTCACGATGACCAAAGCGGAGCATTCACCATCGTAGCTCTCAAAGGTAAATTTTTATAATTTATTTTGAAAACTTAATAAACATTTTACGTAATCGTATAAGTTTAGTTTAATTTAGACAAATTCTGTGGTTCTAGTGAAAAGAGGTACAAGTCATAAAACCTAAAAACTTTACATGACGACGCGAAAAACAGTTAAAGCTTAATATGATATCAAGCGTTAAGTGTTTTTTGCGTTTCCTTATAAAGTTGGCTTTTTTGACTTGCACCCCTTTTCACTAGAGGCACAGAATTGTAGTACTAATATCGCATAGTGTAATAATGCCATATCTGCAAAATTACATCTTTTCTGGAGAGAGGTTTAAGAGCAAATGGCTTTGGTTGATTCCGCATGACAGTAAAAGCGTTGAATCTATCACTTTAGAAAAAAACATCTAGCAAAAGTGAGGATTATACTGATTACGATTCCTAATAATTTTCACGATAGAAAAAACCCAAACTTCCCGAAATTTTACAAGAAAACCGCTGTATTCAATATATAAATATATAAAGTACATACACCAATGAGGTTTTAAAAATATTTGGCGAACGGCTATGGTATGGAGTGAAATTCTCTGCCTACAGACTTCTTCCCTGAACGTTATAACTTGGACCTTTTCAAGTGAATAGGCATTATTTAGGTGTGCATGCTAAATCGTGGACCTCATCGTCACTTTTCATCAGGTGAGATGGAAGTCAAATGCGCTCTTATTTTTTATAATAAAAACAAAATTTAAACTGAACAAAATAGAAAAAAAAATAATTCTGAAATAAAGCCAGTGAAAAATTTGAATTCTAAGACTTTGACTCTAAGATTCTATAAACGAAATTATCGATAACTTAATAGATGAGCTATTAACTGTGATTGAGCGAGTTGATTTAGCTAAACTAAAGAATAACATAGACATTCCCTTCTACAAATCCCGGTCCTCGGAACTGATTACATTTAAAAATGTATAATATTTGTTGAAATTTTCGTACATTAGCGACAAAACAATAATTTCATTTTAAGTATTTACTATAAATTATTGTCTTAAAAAATAATACTGTAATTGGTTTCTATAGGTACTTACATATTTAAATACTTTAGCCATTTAAAATATACACATGAGACAACCTATAATTACAATAGATAAAAAAGGGAAAAACAGAAATTTTATACGTATTGATGATGACGGAATGGGTATGACCATACTAAGAAAACGTTCACACATTAAGTAGATTAAATTTTAAAAAAGTTATAAAACTTATATTTTATATATAATAATATAATATTTTTTCTAATCGATCGATTGATAATTATAAGAAATTAGTGGAGGAATTTCACAAAAAATAATTGAATATCAATGAAATAAAAAATTAATTATGTTAATAGCGACATCTCTAGTCAGCGCTAGCGGTAAAGGTATCTAGCTGGGTGACGAAATACTTGCATAGATTTCTCATAGGTGGGCGCTACGGCTAAAAAGTCGTTGAAAACCAAATACAAAGATCCGACAATAAGCATATAGATAAATTCGTGAGGTACGCAGTTTCATTCCGTGGTTTGGTTGGCATAGCGTCTGGCACGGTTTGCTAGGAGACGTCGGTTCGAATCCGGCCGGATCGAAGGAATTTTTTCTGAGTGTTCGATCTTTGTATTAATAATTATAACAAACTAGTGGAGTAATTTCACATAAAAATAGTTGAACATCAATTCAATAAAAATTGTATTAGATTATAAAATTTTACATATACTCGTACTTAATTGGTTACATGTAGTTCGTATTATTTTTATGTCTTTCATGAGACGAAAACACCTGACGTATGATCACATGTGACTTTTACACCAAGGATATGATATATTCCTTTCACTCACCAGACTCTTAATCTTAATAATATTTAGAAACAATCTGTCCGTACGATGAAAAGCATCATTATCTTTATCTTCATTTCCCTAGATGGCGTCCGTCTCGAGTTTGGTCAACTTGGCCGCCAGTCATCCACCAACGATGCAGAGGTAACCTTCTCGATGACTGAATTTGAGGATTTAGAAAGCGGCGGCACGAGACTGTCCTTCACCTGGGAAGGCCCTAGTGACAGGGTCTTTGAGGACTGCTTTGACTTCGGTAAGTATCTTAATATTGAAATCGACTTGTTCTTTTCTGCAAAACCGCTATCTGATAATACCAGATTAGAGCAAATTTAATACAGAATTCTTACTTTCAATCAGGTGACTTGCATTGGTACGGAGGGCCTGAGCAGAAGGAACAGTACTGGCCCATCCAGAAAAGTAAATTACAAAAATACTCTATCGTAGCTAAAGAAGATGACAACGCTGCTATTTCTGAAAGATACTGGGTCAACTCTGACGGTTGGTACATCTACGTGGCAGCTGAAGTCCCTCTGTTTGTAGACTACCACAACTCCTTGGATAACCACATCTGTTTGATAGCTGACGTAACTGATCCCTACTCAACCAGGCGTCCTCGCAACATCTTGAAATACGACCTTTGGTTCTTTGACAACGCCAAGATTGCGCACCTGCACGCTGTCGAAACTTACCTAGGCAAACCTTCAGGAATTCCTGACTACAGAATGGTCCAATACCCCATCTGGTCAACCTGGGCAAGATTAACGAGAGGATTCACACCAGAAAGTCTCCTTGCTTTTGCCAAGGAGATCAATGACAATGAATTTCCTAACGCTCAGTTTGATATTGATGACTTGTGGGAAATCTGTTACGGTTCACTGACAGTTGATGAAAACAAACTGCCGAACTACAAAGGAGTGATACAAGAACTCCATTCGATGGGATTCCGTGTTTCTACTTGGGTGCATCCTTTTATTAATAAAAATTGTGAGCCTTGGTACTCTGAAGCCATGGAAAAAGGGTAAATCAACTTGTGTAGATACTGTCATGTACTGTAGATACTGAATATTTTAATATACATGTTTTGTAATCGTTATAACTTAATCAGCTATTTAGTTCGGAGTGAGCAAGGCAATCTCGACTCTTCATGGTGGAACAACAACGGCTCCGTTCCTGCCTACATAGACTTCACAAATCCTGAGGCTACTACCTGGTACACTAGCAGGATCCAAAACCTAATAGACACCTATGACTTTGATACTATAAAGTTTGATGCTGGAGAATCAAGCTGGTCACCTCAGGTAAGAAATGGCACTTTTGGAAACCCTAATTTCAAAAATAAGTTGAGGGGATGAGAATCCATAAGTCGACTAATCATCCGTAGAACAAAGACCTAGGTGAAAGACTACTTGTTCTCAGGACATAGTACATTTCATATGTTCTTCTTCGCTGTGGATGTCCGATCGAGTGTTGTTCGATTTTATAGTTTTGCGAAACGATACAAGATATATAAATTGTCAAAACACCTTTACATAGGCCTTGGTTTGAATAACGAAATTGTTCTCGTAACGTACTTATTCTCTTTTCGCTATATAATCACATTGGACTCTGTTCTTCGGATGAGTCGAAATGACATTTTTATAATTAAAAAGTCGAAAATATTTACTACAATACAAATAAATCTTGTTTTCTATGTAGATACCCGTTCAAAATGGCGACATTGAACTTCACCCTGGACACGTTGTCCAAGCTTTTGTGCGAGCTGTTGCTCCATTTGGCCCAGCGATAGAAATTAGAACTGGTATGAGGTAAGAATTTTGTATTATTTTACGGTGTATAGGGTTCTCTGTCTTTGCAAAACCATACCCATGCGGTACCCTACTTATTTCTACAGCAATCCAAAACTGATGTACCGCGAATTGAAGGAAAGAAGAATCAGCGTAACCACAGGCATGGAAAAATAAAGATCCTATGTTCTACGGCCGGTAACATCTTACTTAGATCGCATACGTGGCAATCATCACTTTCCATCAGATTTACAGTCTGTCTCCTTACCAGACTGGATAAAATAAAGAAAATAAAAAAAATGTTTCGAGTTCTTAGGTTTTCGCGATTGTTCAAATCAAATCAAATCATTTTATTCGTCATCATGGGTACAATAAAGATGATAACATTTATTTTATGGTCGCCATGACGTACCATCAAGGCATACGAATTATACTATTATTATTAATTATAATTGTTCAATACTTCCAAATAATAATAATAAAATAACACTAATAATTATCATGAAATAGTCATAAACCACTGATTATAGGCTTCCACCTTCACAGGACTAAGTCTTAAAATCTACAACAGTTAGGACATCAAAACAAAAGTAATTTAATTAAGATAATAATCAATGTAAATAAATCAATGTCATACAGTCACGTTCGCCTCAATAATAAATAATAAATTAATGTGGAATTAGTTAGCACAATTCCTTTAATGTATAAAATGATTTTTCAATTAAATACTCAAATAATGTGCGTTTAAATTCAGCGAAATTTTCATTCTGCCTTACCTGTAATGGCAATTTATTATAGATTTTTGGTGCCATTACAATTATACTCTTCTCAAATAGTGACGTTTTACAATTTATTTGGCGTAGTTGGTTAGGACGTCGTGCTCTTGTAACTACAGGAAAAAGTTGTGGGTGTCGTCGTATAAATAAGGCTGTTTTATAGATATATAATGAAGGCAAGGTCAAAATTTTTAGTTCTCTAAAATAGTTTCTGCAACTGTCGGTCTGTTTCAGTCCACAGATTGCCCTTATGCACCTCTTTTGAGCTCGAAAAACTTGTATTATGTTGCTACTGTTACCCCAAAATAAGATACCATATCTGAGTGTTGCAGCTAAAGCAGTTGTTACACATAGGAAATGAAACTATTTTTCCGGATTTAAATCGGTAAGATTGTCACGGTTGACCGTGACCATGGGACCTGTAAAGGGCCCGAAACGTCGGTTTGTTTGAAAAAACAAATATACGCGATTTAAATCCGGAAAAATAGTTTCATTTCCTAAAAAAAAATGTTATTAAGTGTGAATGTGATGTGTAATTTCTTTTTTTCCAGAACTCAAGACCTTCCAGTGTTCGTCCGTATAGTAGATAAAGACACCTACTGGGGTTACAACAATGGTCTTATTACAGTCATCACCAATATTCTCGCTGTCAACCTGAACGGTTACCCTTTTGTTCTTCCTGATATGATCGGAGGTAACGGCTACAATGAGATTCCGAGCAAAGAGCTCTTCATTCGTTGGCTTCAGGCTAATGTCTTCATGCCTGCTATGCAATATTCGTTTGTACCTTGGGATTATGATACAGAGGTAAGGTTATAATCGGGTTTCAAAGAAAAAACCTTTGTTTTATTTCTTCCTTTAAATGCGCTTTGTTGTAATTAGTTTTTACCGTGGTTTGTAGACAGTAGAAATCAGCCGGAAGTACACCTACCTGCATGCAGACTTCGCGGATGAGATCATTGCGGCGATGCAGGCGTCTGTCAGAGATGGCACTCCTGTCAACCCTCCTATCTGGTGGATCGACCCTGAAGATGAAGTCGCTTTGGGTGTTTTTGATGGTAATTATTTTGTTAAACAGTAGGAAGATCATCATCAGCCTATCGCAGTCCATTGCAGGACATTTCGCCCGTTCCTCGGCTTGTTGCGTCCATTTGCTGCCAGTAGTCACACTTTCTGACCAGAGGTCACTTACACTACGTTAGCCATGCCGTAGTGTCTCGTTTCCCCCATCGGTGACCGGTTCTTCGAGATATCGCCAGCCCACTGCCACTTCAGCTTGCTTATTTTACCAGCTATGTGGACGAACTTGAATCTCTGTCAAATAAGGTCATTAGCAATCTTATCCTTCAGAGGAACTCTGATCATAGATCGTAAAGATGATGGTACTTTAATATGATAAATAGGAAAGTAGAAAGAAGTTGATGTAGAACTAGTAAAACAATAAAAATGTATTTCAGGAAATGTGAAGTAGTTAGACAGAGTAAACAAAATAAAGCTTCTTTTTTATAATACTAAATGACGGGACGAACAAGTCGTGTGCTTGGTGGTAAGCGACAGGCCTGTCCATAACAGTAGACAGTGCCACTCATTCATAGCTTTAAGTCACAAAGATCTGAGGAGCACCGCCACTACACCCGTCACCCTGAGACATAAGTTAACTACCCCCATGTGCCTATAATTTCACCAGCACTTACCATTCAAAACCGGAACGCATTAATGCTAAAATACCAGTCTCTTAATTTAAGCAGCAAATCTACAAATTCAACGCGATCTAAAATCTAAATTTTTCCCTAGAATTCCTGCTCGGGGAGAAGGTCCTAGCAGCTCCAGTGGTGGAAGAAGGTGCAGTTTCCCGCGACATCTACCTGCCCCGTGGCACGTGGCGCGATGGCAACACCGGAGAGTTGATCGTCGGACCGACGTGGCTCACAGATTACCCTGCTCCTCTCCACATCCTTCCTTACTTCACATTAGAAAAGTAAATTTAAAGTTGTTGAATAATAAAATTCATAACTACGTACTTTTAGTTTGGAATCATGAAACCTGGATCTAGTGATCAGGCCTTTAAAGTGCCTCGTTGCGTATTAAATTTTAAATAAATAATCTCAGTAAGTATGTATACTAAAAAACCGACCTCAAAAGTTCATGGAATTACGTCTATTGCCAAGTTTTATTAAAATCGGCGATCGGAAAGTGCACGAAACCGGATTCATCCCCTAATTTGCCACCCTTAGAGGCGGAATATTTTCTTCAAATTTCAATTACTGAGGTACCCTCTTTCAACAAAAAAGAATCATTGTAATCGATTCACAAATGCCTGAATTATTGCGTAACATACATAAAAAAAACTACAGACGAATTGAGAACCTCCTCCTTTTTTGAAGTCGGTTAAAAATAAGTTCTATTACTCATCGTAATACATATTATGAAAGTTTATCAAGTTTAAAGTGCCTAATCTCGATGATAGCCTATCTTAGGAACTTTATCGGGAGGAAGATAGATATCGGTAATATATTTGGATTTTAGTGCCTGGGTCTAAGTAATAGCGATTTTTTTTTTGAGAGTGTTGTGTTTGAGAGTAGAGTGGTGTGGTTAGTAGGTGATAAGATCGAAGTTGAATATACGGAGTTGCGGGCCTCTGCATTCCATGGTTGAAGACCGACAGCAGAGGTGTAGAACCGGAGAGTAGCGGGATCAGCGTGGAGGCGGAGAGTGGAGAGGTTCTCGTAGAAACAGCGGCGGTTATACAGCACTGGCTTCGGAGAGCGGTGAAGTCGTACTAACAGCGCGACAGTTATGCAGCACTGGCTTCAGTTGCTCCTGGGGCGAGGTAGAGCTTGTGGTTAGGCGCTCCACACTATTATATATTATACTATATCGCGTTTGGATACCACTTTCCACTTAACATCAGGTGGAGTGGAGTCATTTGCCTGTCAGGTATATAAAAAGGGCCCAGTCCAGATAAGCAGAACGTTAAGGTGAAGAGCAGGTTTAAGTGGCGAACCGAGGAACTTAGTGCAGGCAGAAGCGTAAGCACGGCAGGAGTCACTCCAGGCGTAAGAAAGATGAGGCTTCGTATATTTTGTTCCGAAGACCAGATGACTCGAAGGTCAGTATAGGAATGACGAGCGAATGGTAGAGCGAGAAAGAGCATCGAAATTCGAATAGCCAATTTTGAATTTGAAATGCAGAGCCAAAATGAGAGCAGCCAGGAGCGGAAACGCTTCTACTGCTAAGATTGCACATCAAAAGAAGCGTAATTTATAGGATAATCTAAGGAAGAATAGATTGTAAATAACAAATCTGTCAACATGCGATATGTTGACATTGATTGACTGTTAATACAATAGTGTATTAACTCAAAAAAAGGGACTTTCTCAGAATTGGTGAAAAATGAATTACTCAGTTCCCGGAAAAAATCATTAAAATTTATATGTTATAATTATTAATACAAAGATCGAACACTCAGAAAAAATTCATTCGATCCGGTCGGATTCGAACCGACGTCTTCTTGCATACCGTGCCAGACGCTATACCAACTAAGCCACGGAACGAACCAACGGACCTCACGAATTTTTCTATGTGCATGCGTCGTGTCTTTGTACTTGGTCTTTCAACGACTTTTTGTATTAATAATTATAACAAACTAGTGGAGTAATTTCACAAAAAATAATTGAATATCAATTCAATAAAAATTTAGTTTATATGTTATATTATAATTATTAATACAAAATTCGAACACTCAGAAAAAATCCTTCGCTCCGGCCGGATTCGAACCGACGCTTTCTAGCTTACCGTGCCAGACGCTATACCAACTAAGCCACGGAACGAACCAGCGGACCTCACAAATTTGTTTGTGCTTGTTGTTGTGTCTTTGTATTTGGTTTTTCAACGACTTTTTAGTCGTAGCGCCATCTATAAAAAATCTATGAAAGTTTTATCACCCAGTTACATACCTTTACAGCTATCGGCCCTGGCGAGAGATGTCGCTATTCACTGCATTTTAAATTTTTATTCAATTGATATTCAATTATTTTTTGTGAAATTACTCCACAGTTTGTTATAATTATTAATACAAAGATCGAATACTCAGAAAAAATTCTTTCGATCCGATTCATATGTTATAGTTTATCATAGACACTTAAACAATGTCACAAATATATTAAAAAATAAAATGGAAAAAATAATTTCATGTTTTTGAATAAGGATTAACTGAAAATAAAGATTTTTTTTTTTTTTTTTTT